TTTKRAAAARRAAAAAAAWCTACTTGTACCTTTGAAATACTGCCACCATTCAAATAGTATATTTAGTTTAGAAATTTAGGATTTCATATAGTACATTGACATATGTTTACATACATTTAATGAAATRTGTCACCTACCAGATGTTTTTTTTAATAACACTGAACATTTAATCTATACAAAATACAAAATATTTCTCTTTTTTTTGTTCTTCATTTATTGTCAATAAATATGTACACTGTTGATTTTAATGTTTTTTTAATTCTTTATTTGCTGAGGCTTGATGGTTGATTTCATTTCTCAAAACATATATCATATAATGTTGAGCCTATTGATTACTATTCCCTTATTYAGTAGAGCAAACACAGGAAAACCATGAAATAAAATCAAACTAAATACTATCAAATTTGCGACTATTTAGAGACAATTTCTTGATGAATAAGCCTTTTTCCAGTTCAATGCGAGCAAACGCTGTTTTAGCAGACAACAGACTCACTTGCGTAGAGAACAAAAGAAGGCACGAAAAAAAATGTTGACATTACAATAGCCTCTAGAAATTTGAATCTTCTTCAATTTGAGGCTTAGCCTGAGCAAGAGTTTGAACCTTCTGGGAATACAGAACTGGACAAAATGCAAATTTATAGGGCTATTATATTGTAATGACAACATTTTTTTGTGTTTTCTTTTGTTTTTGGTAAGGTCTTTGCGCATGAGAGACTGTTGTCAACTAAAGCAGCGGTTGCTCTCTTTGAACAGGAAAACAGTGTATTCACATTGGACCATTTTTAATTCATCTTTATTGCAGTATCGTATTGGTCAGTTGTATATGATAAACAGGCATAGCAATGAGCAAAGTGAATCAGGCGAAGGTGTACATGTCGTAACAAATGAGCCTTGTGAGGATGAAAAATATGGAACAGGACAATACACAGAAAAGAGAGTTTATTTATCAAGGTAACTTTTTGATATACACTTTTGAGGAGTTCCATATATGGGACAAGTGTTTTTAATTATCGTGATTAATGTTTTATAGTCGCTTGCCAGCRTGGGTCAGGTCATACATCCCAAATTTATTCTATATTGTTGAAAAGGCATGGAACTATTATCCATACACAATAACTGGTAAGTTAACATATGAAATTATTAAATAATCATTATTTAACTTTCAAAACTGCACATAGTTAGATATTCTCAATTCAATAACTCATATCTTCATTATCTTTGCATGTCTTTTCTTTGGCTGTAAAGAATATTATGTAAGTATGATAAATTTACAAAATGTAAAACTTAATAGATTCCTAAATGGGAAAAAAATAACAAGGCTCTTTCTCAATGTATCAACCACTGAATTGTCTATGTGTATCTATCTGTATCTATGTTACATCTATAGATATATCTATCATACACTGTACATACACTGTAGATACTGTATAATAGACCCTATAGATACTGTAGATACTATAGATACTGTAGATACTATACACCCTATAGATCCTATGGATACTATAGATACTGTAGATCCTATAGATACTGTAGATCCTATAGATCCTATGAAGAACTTAGGGAATGTAGTCTCTCTCACAACTCATTATGATGTTGGGATTCCTGTGCCACACAGGAAGCCCATTGGGTGTGATTTTGATAATGAAGGAAGTGGATGATTCGCAATTGTCAATCACTGTAAGCTCACCTGTCAGGTCGCCATACGGTGGACAGTGATATTCAAAGGGAATGGAAGGAGATAGGAAACAGATTTTGAAGTGTGAATTAAATAAAACCTGAATGCTGGGATGCTTGGGTTCCCTGTGTATAAAAATGGACAAAAACAAACCGACTTTCCTCTTTCTTAGGCACACCCATAGCAACAGTTAGCGACAGAATAAACTAAGTTTTATAAATATTTGACATGTCATGTCTATTGTTTCTTCTTATTTCTTCTTGTTCATTTCTGTTATTTCTCCATTTCTGTTATTTCATTTATGATATTTTTTTTTTCTGTTTTAGTGCTCATTTTTACCAAGATTTTCTGTACGGATTGAAACAAAGTATCTAGAYGATAATGGTTGCACAGAAAATGTATGTCATATAATTTTCTTACTTTTGTGCAGTCAATGTTTCATCATTACCGTTTTGGATTATTTCTAGTGTTTTAATCATAATGATGACTTAAATGGAAGAGACGTTGTACATGTTGACATCGCTCATGACCCTATTCCTGACAAGTATTATGTTGAAGAAGAAGTAAGCATAATTTTGATCTACAATGCTGCATCAGTATGGACTACCTTTATATCATGGTGGGAACTAGCGGTAAACTAGTGTGAGCTGCGTCGGTGTTTCTAAAGAAACAGTTATGTAAAAAGATAAATTTAACACCGTAAAAAAGTATGTGGAATAACTTACTGATGTTTCGGATGTTAATCCTTCGTTGAAGTAAAGAGTGAAGACGAAGGATTAACATCCGAAACGTCAGTAAGTTATTCCACATACTTTTTTACGGTGTTAAATTTATCTTTTTACATAACTGTACCTTTATATCACTGGGACCTAAAGAGGTGCAATTCTTAACCAGGCCTGCAACAATTTTTAGAGACCTGCATCCCCCATTTCCCTGAATCCATCCGTGCATTACTAACAGTGACTGTCATTACTGTTATTGTTAATCAAAGTGTTTTCAATCATTTCTTTTCTACCAGGATTGTAGATACTTTAAATCAAAAATTACAGGGAGAGGACCATTAGAGCAAGGCTGGCAGGTAAGGCAAAACAATCTTACTTCTATCCAAAGTGATTCTAAGKAAGTAGCCTCTTCTTTTATGTCTTTTTCTAGTTGTAAATAATACAGTCATTWYYTAGCCTTCTCAGTACTAGGCATCTTGGGRGAAGCTAACTTTCGGTACATTCATGTTTCTAAAACATAGTAAATTTGTTGCTAGGAAACTCAACAACCAATCATGTGCTCATACAAACTAGTTAAAGTTTCATTCGATATCTGGGGATTAAGTCAGCGAGTGGAATCTTACGTACATAAGGTAATTTAATAAACAATTTAATTAATGTTATTGCCAAAAAGAAAGGATACAACATCAAAATATAATGTAACAACTTATAACACAATGTGAGAGACTTCTAGAAGAACTTTGTGCTGTGCATTTTTAGATAGTAAGGCTAGAGATGTAGAGGATTGGAATTTAGTTAGCCTGCATGTAGCCGAACCAAGASAGTTTTACAAGTAGTTCGGCTGCACGCAGTTTAGGAGTTAGTACGTTAGCTAGAGTCCTGAATAGAGCTGCATTGCAAAACCGACCAGGATCGCACTGCCGGACAGCACACCACTTGCTTTTTGCTTGACAGRGGAACCTGAAAGAAAACAGACAATGCCTAGTTTGCAAAAATCTATTAAAACTATAAYAAAACTCCATGGGTGTGGTGGATAACACAGGAAYCCCAACGCTATTATAAATACCAATATGAGATGCAGGGCGTGACAAAGAAAGAGCCGGAGCATGTTAGAATAATAGTAACCCCGTCGCTTCTCCCTTTATTAAAGAGAAAGAGATTGTTCAATACTATATTTATGCAGAGAAAATTGTTATCTTGATATGTTCTCTACATATTGTCAGCTATTTGATACGYTTCGCTGTGTATCGCTCAAAGTACGCCAGTTTGTCCCGTAAACATGGATTCAGCTTAATTTGATGTTCTTTTGTCGTATTTCCCATCATTTGTCTTTGTGGTTTATGTATTCATGGTTGGAAAAAAAGGGGAAATACATCTGCCCCTAAACCACACATTCAAAGTGTACGCTTATGAAATCACAAAATCCAGTGAAATTATCAGAAGGTACGACAAAAACACTTTGAAGCAAAGGATGGGGGAATACAAAAGAGACTTGYAGACTTCTATTTAACGGATGTTAATCGTTATCATTATCATTAGTCTTACTTTTGTCATTTKGTAATGCTCCCGGCCATACATCGGCATATACCCATTCAGTCGCCTTGCAATGTCCTCCAGACTTCGACCCTTTAGGATACAAGACGCAWTCGTCTTTCGTTAAAGAAACTGCCGGGGAAGAGCAGTTTTTCTTGAAGTATTCCTGGCACATGTCTCTGCAGGTGGCTCCGACGTACTTGCTGTCGCTGTAGCAAGGTGGGAGAAAATCTTCACAAAGCAACTTCGAAGCCATCTTTTCACACTCTTTCGTTGCGTTCTTTAGCATTATGGAAGCGCGATGTTTTTGCTCCTCTTCAGGAAATATTGTAAACTTGTASCCATAATTTTGACACGGGGAGACAATAAGAGGAAAACACTTGTTGGGCTCCAAATCACCTGAACAACAGAAACATACTTCACTCTAGTGTTAAAAACATTTTAAGCATGCGTCATGCTGGGTAAKCATATGAGACTGGGATTTCTTTCTTTCATTGTCTTCCGTGTTTTACAGACACCCTATGAGACTTATCCCACATGGATTATGCCTGCACAGCCGGATTTCACACCGGCTCGTAGGCACAAGTCTCCTTCGCATCCGTTTCCGGTGTCAAATTAACAAATCGAAATCGCTTTTCTATGGGTCCCTGGAAATAGCGTTACAAGTTACGAAGTTACAAAGTTACGAAGTTACAAAGTTACGAAGTTACAAAGTTACGAAGTTACAAGGTTAAATTCTGTTACATTTCTGTCAAGAATATGTCAACAACATGTCAACAAGCCCTTCTACTATTACTATATTATTATTATATACTTTAATTTTATGCGTTAGACATACTTGAATTGACTATCTTAGTCCAAAAAAACTTAAAAACTATAAACTAACTAACTATAAAGGGAGAGAACCAGGTCCTTTCATCGTCATAAGCCTTTGGTCAGTGACCTCTGTACTGATGTACATGCCTGTTTGTGATGAGAAGTAGCCTGTGTACATCCGTTTCTCACCCCTCAAAAAATCGGGGATTTTTTGAGGGGTGAGAAACGGATGTACACAGGCTAGATGAGAAGTCGCACGGTGAAAGGATGGCCACCTTTTAACCATGAAGGTCGCCAGTTTTTGAACAGTGATTAATATTGTATTTGTTATAGCTCATTGAGKATCTTAGAAATTCACTTACTGAATAGTGTGTATATCTTGAGTCACAGGTAGCCCAAGCTATACATTTTAACCGTTTTTAGTAATTTTGCGAAATATGCTAGTTTAATAAAAAATAAACATCTCTACCTGTTTCAGGCCATTTTGAGCTATTTTGAGCCATTTATTGCTATTGTTATCTTACGCTCTAAAAAGAAGGGAAGGTAGTTAGGTCAACCCCACAGTGACCGCCAGAAATTAATTTCTAGCTCCTCCGAAAATGTGAATCACGCCAATATTCCCTCGGATTATCTTT